CTGTCCTATTTTGGTTGGTTTAGAGCAGGGGTCTCAAACTCAATTTACCTGGGGGCCGCTGAAGGCAGAGTCTGGGTGAGGCTGGGCCGCATCAGATTTTTTTAAAAAAAATTCACATAATTGCCTTGCAAAAAGAGAAAAGACCCCCATCAATACCTGCGAAGTTAAACAGAACGGGGCGGCCCATCACAGGTGTGCACGCACGCACGCACGCGCACGCGCACACACACACACACACACACACACACACACACACACACACAGAGAGAGAAAAATTTATTTCTTTCTACACCCATGCACTCCCATTATTTGAAACCACAATTTTATTTATATATATATAATTCCTTTTGTGAATAGGTGTTGGTTGTGCCAATGTGATTGGCTACCCTCTTTCTTGATGTTTAATTATGAGGAGGAGGAGGAGGAAGCACCGCTGGGTGCTGAGGCGGCTGCTGGCTGGGCTGGTGCTGGGGGTGCCGAGTGAGAAAGAGAGCCAGAGAGCCGCTTCCCTGGAAGCTGCTGTTGGTGGCTTGGAGGCGCTCTTTGAGGACGGGTCGGGAGCGAGCTCTGCTCTCAGGCATCACGCAGCGGCGGCTTGGGCGCACGCCTCACTCGCCAGCTCTCTCCCAAGACAGCGCCTCCTGCACCCTCCATCCAGAACTGCAGCTGCTGTCGCCTCGTCCTCTCTGCACTTCTCCTTCCCCCCACCCAGCACTCCTCCACTCCCTGCCCGGATGTGCCACGGGAGGGGGTGCTGCCAACAGGACAGCCTTCTCGTGCGCGCTCCCCACCGTCTCCCTGAGGACTGGGCAAGACCACGGCATCTCGCCAGAGTGGGAGTCAAGAAGCCCCAGGAAGCCCCATTAACCGTTGGGTAGGGGGGTACCCTCCATTGTCCCCAACCTGTGTCTAAAGAGGGCACGCTTCTTATGTGGAGAATGGTAACACACGGGCAAGAGCAGAGCACAGGGGGAAATCTTGCTCTCTCCAGGTTGTTGTCCTTGCTTGTTCGCTGCACTCATTTTACTTCTAGCTCAAAACATGCAGGTGGGAACCCTTACAAAAGCAAGTTCCCTGCAAGGAGGAGGACTTCTGCTCTTCCCTCCCACCCCCTTTCCTGCTTCTGCCAGGCGAGCAAGGCACAAGCTGGGCCATCGCCAAGGACATCGAACTTTTCAC